TGGCCCACGAGGTCTGCCGTGGAAGGCCGTGTAGGCCCGAGCATATGAAGGGCACGTGTGTGTGTGTGTGGATCACAGGGACCACACTCAGCTTAGGACCTGGGAGGCGAAGTGCGGACGTACCAAAGCCCTAACTGCACACCCGCAATCACTCTGAACAGCGAGCAGATTACAACACTGGGTTTCTCTTTTTTTTTTGGAGAGATTTTTGCTATAGGGTGCGGCATACACTCACCAGACAGACAGAGAGAGACAGAGAGACAGAAAGCGAGAAATCACCCCCCACCCCTGTGGGGATGGCCACGCCGTAATCCCTTCTCCTCCATTCTCCTCTTGGGATCTTGGGCACGCACACACACGCACCGGGCGTGAGTCTAAGCCACCGGGTCCGGGACTCAAACCATGGTTGACTACATGGGAGTCCAGCGTCATAGCCATCACGCCAACTGCTGGTCCCAACACACTGGGTTTCTGTGTTGTCGAGTCTCCGCTTCGGATTCCCTGCGCTAAAGTGTAGTCGAGTGTACATTTTTTATATATATGCTCACATACCCCCCACACACACATACATGGAGAAAACAAGGGATCAAGGGTGGAAATCTAAACACAAAATCACAGCTGCCTTCCCTTCCCTCACTATCACCATGCGTAAGTAAACATAAAGGGTGTTTTAGGTTTTTGCCATAGGGTCCATGCACTCACCAGAGAGAGACAGAAGAGAGAAAGTGAGCAGTGAACCCCCGGGGGACGCCACGCCACAGTCCCTTCTCCTCCATTCTCCTCCTGGAATTTTGGGCACACGCGCACACCTGCCTGGCACGATTTTCCAGCTGCCTAGTCCAGGACTCGAATCACGGTCGGCCATGTGGGACCCTAGCACCTTCACACCACCTACCGTCCCCAGGATAAATAAGGTTTTTATTTTCCAAAATCAAAGGATTTTACAACATTCAAGAGCACATAACAAAAAGCTCTGAGTGACAATGTATGGCAACGTCATGGTACCAAGTCGTTGGAACTGGTCTCCAGTGACCGAGTCCTGGGGTTCGAGTCCTGGGGCTCACGAAAGACCACTAGAACAGTTCCAGGCATTGGGCTGTCAGGAAATCCTCTGAAATCAGTACCATCAGCCCCCCACTTCGCAGGTGAGAAAGTGAGGACAAAGAGGTGATTTAACAGCGCTAAGAAGGATTAGAGGCGGGACTCAAACCCAGGAGGCCTGGCCGGAGGGTCTGGCAGTTAGAATGGTTCAGCCATTGTACCTGGTTTTACTAAGGGTGTGCTATTCAAGTTATTGATCACTTTGAGATTCGTCAGAAAAAGGGGGAAAGATCCAATCAACAAGAAACATTTCCAAAATAAATAACTATAAATAATGAGCTGGCAAACGCGTCAGTATTCTATTTTTAAGGCCACGTCCTCCGATGCTCCGGAGTCACACAGCCCTGCCAAACCTTAGCTTCCGAGTCCAGCTTCAGACCTTCCTGGATGAAAGGAACCCAACCTGGTCACTCGTTCTGCAGAAAACCTTCCCATTTAAATAACACCTGTAAATATTCTCTTTTCAACAGACTCCATGGCACATATAAGTAAACTTGCTCTGAAAAAAATTCAACATTTTGAAAAAGATGTCTTCTGGGGCCAGCAGGTAGCATGGTGGTTAGGGTGCTGGACTCCCACATGGCTAACTGTGGTTCGAGTCCTGAACCTGGTGACTTGCTTTCTCTCTCTCTCTCTCTCTCTCTCTCTCGCTCTCTCATCGAATTAAAAAATACTACTTACTAAATAAAATTAAAAAAAAAAAAAAAGATTTCTTCTAAATAACTTTCTGGGGCCCAGTAGATGGGGTGGTGGTTAAGAAGCTAGACTCCACATGGCCAACTGTGGTTCGAGTCCCAGACCTGGCAGCCTGAAAAAACACACCCAGTGCATGTGTGTGCCTAAAAATCCCAAGAGAATGGGACCAGCAGTTAGCATAATGGCTATGTCGCTGGACTCCCATGTACTCGACCGCGATTCGAGTCCCGGACCCGGTGGCTTAAACTCACGCCGGGCACATGTGCATGAGTGCCCAAGATCCTGAGAGGAGAATGGAGGAGAAGGGATTGCAGCGTGGCCATCCCCCCTGGGGGGTGATTTCTCTCTTTCTGTCTCTCTGTCTCTGTCTGGCAAGCGCATGCACCCTATAGCAAAAACCTCTCAAAAAATTTTTTTAAAAATTAAAATATTTTTTTTAAAAATCCCCAGAGAAGACAGACACAGGCCTGTGGTGTGGTCCTGTTCCTGGAGGGCACTTTCTCACTCTCTCTCTCTCCTGCAAGCACATGCACCCATGGCAAATAAAAACAAATCCATAAATAACTTTCTTGAGAAAGCTCTGCACGGGCTGATAAATATATATTTGCCTCTCTCTACTCCTGCCGGGCACACTCAGGGTATGACAGTGTCTAAAAGGTCACGCAGAGACAGAAGATTTAGAAAGTTATTTTGAATAACAGTTTCACTTTCATTACATCTTTGATAAAGAGCTTTGCTATAAATTCCTCTAAAGAAAGACAGCTTCCCAATTCTATGCTTTGTTTTACCAAAACAAAACAGAACTGTACATGGAAACAAAACTGGAAATTAGGAATCTTACACCATCATTTTTTGAGCCCATTAAATAATCGTATCACCAGGGCCGGCAGGTGGCGTGGAGGCTGGGGTGCTGGACTCCCAAATGGGTGCCCATGGTTCAAGTCCTGGACTTGGCAGCTTGAAAATCACACCATGCCTCTGTGTGCACACGTGGGACCACAGCATGGCCATCCCTTTTGGGAGGAGATTTCTCACTTTCTCTCTCTGTGTCGCTCTCTGGCAGGGGCACACCCTCTATGACAAAAAAAAAACCTAAATGAATTAATTAAATTAAATAATGCTCTCACAGTCCCTGACATGTGCACCTCTGAGCACAGAACTAAGTCTTTATCCGACTCATAACAAATGAGTTTCATTTACCTGCCCTTCGGACAGGGCTGGCCAGCACTAACTCCTGAGGGGTGCAGCCCCACCGGGTGTGTATGCAAATACAGGCAGATACACACCAGTGCCCTCCACACACAGCTGACTGGACATCTGGCAACGTCTACAGACACTTTTAGTTGTCAAAACTGGGGGGGGGGCGTGAGTACCCCAAGTGAGCACAAGCCAGGGTGCTAGCTGTTCGAGACACCCTACTGGCCCCACGAGAAGGGATTCTCTCAGTTCTCTGGCCTCAAATGTTACTGGTCCCAGTGTTGAACAACTCCAAACTCTGGGACTAGTAGTTGGCATAATGGCTATGTTGCTGGACTCCCATGTAGTTGACCGCGGTTCAAGTCCCGGACCCGGTGGCTTAAACTCATGCTGGGCGCATGTGCGTGCGTGCCGAAGATCCCGAGAGGAGAATGGAGGAGAAAGGATTGCAGCGTGGCCATCCACCCTGGGGGTGATTTCTTGCTTTCTATATCTCTGTCTTTCTGGTGAGCACACGCGCCCTATAGCAAAAACCTCTCAAAAAAAAAAAAAAAAAAAACCTCCAAACTCTGATAACACAAAAATACAAACTATTTTTTAAAGAATTATTTATCCTATTTAACTTTTTTTTTTAATTTGACCAGAGAGAGTGAGAAAGTGAGAAAGGAAGGCACCAGGTCCGGGGCTCAAACCGTAGTCAGCCATGCGAGAGTCCAGCACCCTCAACACCCTCAACCACCACACCACCTGCCGGCCCACAAACTATTTTTTTCAATAGGAAATGTTAAGTGTGGATCTCCCAGTAGGATTACAAAACAGTGTCTATTTTGTTCTTTCTGTATTTTCCAAACCTTTGTCAACACACCTGCATGACTTCTGATCAAAAGAAAAGTAAAAAACCCACTTGGGAATACATTTTTAGGAGAAAGACTCTGTTCCCCATCCTGGGGGCCCCCTTCTCAGAGGACTGGTGGCATTCAGCCTGCCTAGCCTGCAGGAAGGGCCCAGGGGACGTGTCCCCTCAAATCAGCTCTCCCTCTTGTAATGGTTATCAGTGGTTATCAGTGGCCCTGGCCACTCAGTGCTTCACAAGGGGGAGAGAAACTGGTAATGCACAACCACACAGCCTCTGCAGGGAAGGGACAGGGGACACTGTTTTTTCTAAACAGCCCCAGAAACAACCCAGAACTGCACACCTACTACCCACACGGGCGGTAAGGAACCCTCCAAACTTACTGCACACAAGCTGAGCATTTTCTTTTCATTCCACCCCACCCTCACTGCATTTGGGGCCACCACTGTCACTGAAAGCCGGTTGACAATACCCACACTGCAGTGCATGCCTTCGCAGCCCACCAAACCTTTCTTGCAAAAGTTAAACCCTGCATCTGCAGGGGCAGTAAACCACGGAGGCCAGGTTCACGATAAAATATTAGCAATTATTTTTCTGTATGCAATCATTACATGCTCATCTAGGGAAAAAAAAACATACCAAAAACCTGAAATTCAAGTTCTTAAGTGGGTGGATTCTAACAGGAATTAAAGGCACTTGGAGAAAATCCAACATTACAACCCTTTAAAGTCACATCATCCCAAAGCTACTTAAGGCTAATGGCAAGTACCGCGCACTGCCATTTATGAAATCGATATTCCTGTTGTCCTCGACCCTGCGGCCGCCAGCCATGCCCACAGCAGCTCGCTGGGAGAGGGCAGGGTGCACTCAGGCCCAGCTCTCCCCCCAAGGACCACCGCCGGCTCAGGAGCTCGCCGGTCCCGGATTGGCTGCGGCCCTGCCGAGGTGGCCCGGGCTCCCACCTTCCGAACTTGGGGCCGGCGTGACTCACGCCCTGTCACATGGCGTAGGAGGCGGCCAGGAAGCCACCGCTGCCAGGTGTTCGGGCTTGGCGGACCGTTTGTTTGCCTTGCAAAGTGGCCGAGGCTGGTGCTCCAGGGCGGGCGCCTCCCGCCTACCCTGCGCACCCGCTGGGTCACCTGGGCGGACTCACCTGGGAGGGCAGCAGGAGGTCCCCGTCTTCTGCCTGCCACAGCTCCACCACGTTGGGCAAGGGCTCGATCGCTGCGCGACACCAGAAAACACACGAGTTTGGCACGCACGGAAAGAAACGCTTCCTGCTTCCCTGCGAGTCCCCGTGCCACCCGCCTCTCCAAAACAAGTCCCCTTCTCCTCCCGCAAGCTGAGGCCGCCGAGGGTCGAGCTCAGGCTGGAAACACACAATGGACCGGGGCAAGCGGCGGCGCTGACGGCCAGGCCAGAGCTCGCCCTCCGGG